CGTTAGGTTGGAAGGTAGAAGGAAAGATAGGGATGGAGAACAAGTTCTCTAATCATCAATCAAAGGATCAGATTCAGATTCTGCAGTTCTAGAACATTCTCTGTAGCCAAGTAACCACAGCCAGCCAATCTCCCTAATACAAATACCTAAAGGTCAGTTCACTCATTCTGCCAACAGTGCCAGGCAGTGGGACCACAGAGGTGAAAAGACAAGGCACAGAAGGCGCTTCAAGTCTAGTCAGGGGGCGAAGACACTGGCAATCACAGTAGGTATGACCATGCTTTTATGGAGGAAGGTATAGAGTGTGGCGGGGCAGAGACAGGGCGCAGGACCAGTAAGTCTCTGTCCACCAATCCAGTGTTCTCCATACTTGTGGAGCTCAGGTCCCCTCCCCCACCCCACCACCCTGAAAACCACCTGCCACCCCTGTTCCCACCTGTCACTACATGAATCACGGCACCAAACTTGTGCAGGGAAAAAGTGGACGCGTGTGAATTTTGAGCACCTATTTTCTACAGAGGCTGTTATTTTATTTATTCCTCACCACAACCTTATTTTCCAGATGAGAAAATGGAGGCCCAGAGAAGTTACGTGGTACCATTATCAGAGAGTAAGAATCGAAGGAGCCACCTCTGCCCTCAAAGACCACGTTCCCTTCGTTACACTTCACTGCTCCCACTGCTATTGCCCCAAAATAATTGCAGACAACAATGATGGAGATAGCCCTGTCTACTCAGGGCTACTCCGAGTAGACAGGACTCGGAGAAACGACTGATTGCTACTCAGAGCAAATTACTCTTTCGTGTAATTTGCGATCCACGGCAGAAATTTAACTTCCACCAAAGGTGGCTCATGATGTGCACTTTAGGATTACACTGAAGAATTCTCAAGAATACCAAGCACAGCTCTCCTACCATGAGACTCTGGGCCCAAACCACATTGTCCTCAGGGCCAATACAGTTATGTACAGGGAGCCTGCATCCATATGACACATAGTTCAACATGAGCAGGGACCAGGATTGTCACCTCCCTTAATTCTAATCACGTCAGTCTTACCCATCATCTATAAATAAATGCGATTAAAATAGAACACCAATTTCCTGGCTTGAGACAAAAATCTTAGTGGCTATAAAAGCACAGGCTGCTTACATATTTTCAGTATAAAATACAATTTTTTTTTCTTGGAACTGTAAACACTGTGGCCCTATGTCATGGTTAGGCAGCAATGACAGAAACAAATTCAAGGAATACAGAAGTAGAGCTGGAGATGATAACGTTTACTGCTTCCCTTTGCAACATGGTTACAAGGTCCTGCATAAAGTTTCATTGCTTCCTTAAAAATTATCATACATGTTTACGTAGCAAGAACTGGAAAGAAGGAAGATTAATAGCAAAAGGATAAGCTAATAAAATTATTGATGGACAGAGTTTGTATGATGCAATTGTCTGAAATGGTAACTCTCCCACTTAGATTATAGAAGACTTACATCCTTTCCAAGGTGTGTATCAAGAAAGCCAAGGCTAGGGGCACCGGGGTGGCTCAGTCAGTTGAGCATCTGACTTCGGCTCAGGTCATGATCTCACAGTTGGTGGGTTCAAGCCCCACCTCAGGCTCTGGACTGACAGCTCAGAGCCTGGAGCCTGTTTCTGCCTCTCTCTCTCTGCCCTTCCCTTTGCTCCCACTCTGTCTCTCTCTGTCTCTCAAAAAACAAAAAAATGAATAAACGTTAAAAAAATATTTTTAAAAAGAAAAGGAAAGAAAGCTAAGGTTAAAAATTTGGGCAGCCTGGTGTCTTGTAATCCACTTTAGCACTTACATACAGCATCTGAAATGCAGGCAAGCACTCTGATGAATAAATGACTGATTGAATGAATAATTTCATTAACCATCTACTCATGGTTCATAAATCTTTGCATTGTGGAACATTTTCTGACATTTTCCTAAAGCTGATCCTGGTCAGACAGAGCAGGTGATGCTTTAGCCTAATCTAAAGAGATGCTGTGGCCAGAAGTACCTAGGGATTTTTTTTTCCTTTTAATAAACAATGAGGTCTCAAAAAACAAAACAAAACAAAACACAAAAAACCAATATGCTCTCAGGAGTTAACACATCACATTCACTATCAAGCATTACTTCTTAGTGTAAATAATTTAATCAAATGTCATCTTTGGTTGTTTTTTTTTTTTATTTTTAAAAATTTACATCCAAATTAATTAGCATATAGTGCAACAATGATTTCAGGAGTAGATTCCTTAGTGCCCCCTACCCATGTAGCCCATCCCCCCTCCCACAACCCCTCCAGCAACCCTCAGTTTGTTCTCCATATTTATGAGTCTCTTCTGTTTTGTCCCCCTCCCTGTTTTTGTATTATTTTTGTTTCCTTTCCCTTATGTTCATCTGTTTTGTCTCTCAAAGTCCTCATATTTGTGAAGTCATATGATTTTTGTCTTTCTCTGACTGAATAATTTCGCTTAGCATAATACCCTCCAGTTCCATCCATGTAGTTGCAAATGGCAAGATTTCATTCTTTTTGACTGCCAAGTAATACTCCATTGTATATATCTATACGCCACATCTTCTTTATCCATTCATCCATCGATGGACATTTGGGCTCTTTCCATACTTTAGCTATTGTTGATAGTGCTGCTATAAACACGGGGGGTGCATGTGTCCCTTCGAAACACCTGTATCCCGTGGATAAATGCCTAGTAGTGCAATTGCTGGGTCATAGGGTAGTTCTATTTTTAGCGTTTTGAGGAACCTCCATACTGTTTTCCCACGTAGCTGCACCAGCTTGCATTCCCATAAGATGTCATCTTTGTAATGGACAGCTGATCAAATGGGAGTTTAGGTAGGCTCTGAGTGGAGAGAAGAGAATTTGGGAGCTTGGCAGTTGGATCTGAGGTGTGCTCACAGATCTGAGAAGCCAGAGAAACCTGAAACAAGAAGAGGGTTAGAACCTGGGGGAAAGCCAAAGATATCATGTCTACACCCTCAGTTTTCCTCCATTCCCTTGCCACTGCTCGCTGAAAACAACGGCAGGGAAGGAAATCTGCAGTTGTTCCCTCGGCTTTATTAGGTTGTCCACTTTAAACTTCTTTCCCTCTGGGAATTATTCACGATCAGTATTTTCCCACTATTGGGCTCTCACTATGTGATTCCTAAGGTGCAGGACACTCACTGTTGTTCCCTCGTGAGAATGGAGAGAGAACACAGCTGGGGTGTGGACAGGGGTGCTGGGGGCAATGACCACAGGACAGGGCCCCACATCACTGGGAATGGCAGCCAAACAGGAAGCTGCCAGCTGGGCCACCACCATTGGAAATCAAAAATGACCTCTTCGGCGAATTAAAAGGCCCTGGCACAAACATCTAAGCCTACTTCATCCTTTTCTTTCATTTTTGCATGGGACAACTGGCTCTTCTCAGTTAATCCAGAGAGTTTTACTAGGTACCCAGCACATATCATGTGTTTCACACAAATCACCGCACTGGACCTCCGACCTCCTGAAAAGTTGGCAGACCATCCCTATTTTATAGATGAGGAAACTGAGGTTCCAAAAGGTATCACAGCTTGCCCAAGGTGTATGTCACTGTAAAGTGACCAAGCCAGAAATCAAACCCATGTACAGGACTTCCCAGACTCTGCTCTTTTCTTGCTCCCACACTGCCTCATATCCTAATTCTGTAGTTCACTCAATTCTGGCTTAATTTTTACTAAATCTCCTAAGAAAATTGTCGCCTATGAAAATTTTTCTGCTGTCTGATGACTCTGGACACAAAGCCATTAGGTTGTAAATCAAATTAAATCACTGTTCAAACGAGTATGCAAAATAATCTTTAAAAGCAGCAAATGTGCTTAAGGAAATGGCCATGATAGCATCTCACTTCTGAGACCATGAGCTTTGCAGTTTCAGCTGATCAACCCTCGGGAATATTTAATGATTTTGTCCCGGACTACTGCACAGCCAGAAAATTCAGTTGGACCTTAGGATGATGAATGTGTGTGATTTAGATCTGAGGGCTGATAAAAGGAAGGAGGTTTATGCAAGTTGACAAAAAACAAGCTGGCCATGGCTCCGTGTGATTTGCTCTTTATGAAGAGATTCTGTTTGCTTTTGTGATAGATTTATCTACCCTGACATTTATTCTGCTTATTAAAAAAAATTCACACTCATCAGTTCGCTATCTGGGCATGGTAAATACATTTCCTGTCCCCAAGTCCTATTACTCTAAATTTATTTTCCATTCCAGCATTGGGCAGAAAATATATCTTTGATTTGTTCTTTCCAAGTCATTTGAGTACTTTATCCTGTGATTTTATATCAGCATTTTATACTTTTAGATACTTTACTTGCACTTCTGGGACTTCTACCTGTTTTAACATATTAAGCCCACAATATTAGTAAACATAATCAAGACCTAAAGTTTATTTAATTTTTTTAAGTTTATTTTTGAGAGAGAGAGTGAGAGTGTAAGTAGGGGAGGGGCAGAGAGAGAAGGGAATTGAGAGCGAGAGAGAGAGAGAAAGAGAGAGAGAGAGAGGATCCTAAGCACTAAGCAGGCTCCTCACTGTCAGTGCAGAGCCCAACATGGGGCTTGAACCCACAAAACATGAGATCATGACCTGAACCAAAATCAAGAGTCGGATGCTTAACCACTGAGCCACCCAGGTGGCCCTGAGACCTAAATTTTAATCATACAACCTTTCATAGTAGCACTAAGTAAGCTGTGCAAAGTGGTTTTTATATATGCATCAGCTTATTCAATCTTTATGTATATTAATTACCAAAAATAGCTGAAATAACTAAGATGAAAACACCTCCTCAGATTATTATCTCACTTTTGGGAGGTCACCTAGCAGATAACACAGAAAAAAATGTTGAGGTTTGGGTGATGTCTGCACAATGCCAAAATATCTAATGAGGTGTTTTTTTTTTTTTTTTTTTAATCCAAGGGTCTATTATACAAATTTAAAAGCCAGCTAGTTTGATTGAACCGATTTGCTATACGGACATTTATTAGAAACGTTCACAGAGAGCAGAGTAAATTCTACAACACTGTAAAGTCAGTTTTGAACATAGATGTTTGCCAGCCCAAATGATACCATAACAAAGTCATGTATAAACCCAATTGCACATTCTTGCATGTTACCCGTAATTGAGCCCCTTCTCTCTGCCAGGCACTGTTCTGGGCACAGAGGATACAGCAGTAAGCCAGATTGGCACCTACCTTGTTCTCTTGGAGCTAATTATCTAATTAACAAGAAAAATCTCAGAGTTGTGATAGCGCCGTGCCAGGAAGTGAAACAAGGAGTTGGGGTAGAGAGATGACGAAAGTCTCACTGAGGAGGTAACATTTCACTGAGGTCTGAATGACAAGAAGGAGCCAGAGATGCAGCAGTCTGCAGGACAAGCACTGCAGGCGTAGAGACCAGTGAGAATGCTAAAAGTGGGGAGGAGCTTGGCAAGAGGCTGGTGATCAAGGTGGAGAGTGGAGGAGATGAGGTCAGACAGACCTCATCTTTGTATGAGATGCAACGCCACGCGGGGCTTTCCAGGCCTAGGCAGGGAGTCCGCATGTCATTCTAAATGCGAGAGGAAGCCATTGGAGGATTTCAAGAGGATTTTTAAGAGGATTTACATTTTTGAAAGTTTTCAATGTGCAAATTAGCACTGTGACTGTATACTGATTCTTAAAGAATGAACAAATTACCTGTTGATCAGGTCAAATTGCATGACATCACATCACTTCCTCACTTCACTTCTCTCCGTGCAGCATGACCATAAAGAGGCCATATTTGACACACTCACCAGTCTTTCCAAGGGCTTCTCCTGTGAGGCAGGGGTCTCCTTCCCAGTTCATCTTGCTTCGATGTTGTCTGGTCTAAACTCCCATTTGCCGGTAGCCTTACATGTGTAGCCTTACACAGTGGCCTTACAAGCAAGCCTCCATCACTTCCTATAACTTTATGAAATCCTGTCTCTCAAGAGTATTAATTTCACTTTACAACAGATTTGCATTGAATGTTTTAGAGCTCGTGGACACTCAGTGAGGAGTCAGTCATGGTGGCACAGATAGACACTAGACTTAAGGGGGGGACATTTGAGAAGTATTGTAAACATTCAGGTTAAGCATTTTTGTGCTTTGTTCCAATAGATCCCTTAACTACAATGAGTGAGGTAGCAAAAACTCCTGTGATCCACTAGCCTTGCCCCTAAGGCCCTTAGAAAATGGTCAGGAAAATGGACCAACAGTCATGAAGCAATCAGTGAGCACAAAAGAATGATACTGAGTGCCTGGGTGGCTCAGTGGGTTAAGCATCCAACTCTTGATTTCAGCTCAGGTCCTGATATGGTCGTGAGATAGCTCCCTGTCGGCTCTGCACCGGTGTGCAACCTGAATAAGATTCTCTTTCTTGCTCTCCCTCTGCCTGTCCTCTGCCCTCTCGCTCTCTCTCTCTCTCTCTCTCAAAAAAAATGATACTTATTAGCCTTCTATAATAATGTGATAGGCAAAATGACACTCCAGAAATATCTATGTTCCTAGCACATGTCAATATGTTATGTTATATGGTAAAAGGCAATTGTGGCTGCAAATGGAATTAAGATTACTAATCAGCTGACCTTTTTTTTTTTTTTTAATTTTTTTTTTCAACGTTTATTTTTTTTGGGACAGAGAGAGACAGAGCATGAACGGGGGAGGGGCAGAGAGAGAGGGAGACACAGAATCGGAAACAGGCTCCAGGCTCCGAGCCATCAGCCCAGAGCCTGACGCGGGGCTCGAACTCCCGGACCGCGAGATGGTGACCTGGCTGAAGTCGGACGCTTAACCGACTGCGCCACCCAGGCGCCCCTAATCAGCTGACTTTAAAATAGGGAGATTATCCTAGAATATCCAGGTGGGCCCCATGTAATCACCAGGGTCTTTAAAAGTAGAAGAAGGAATCAGAATACAGTCATAGGAACTTGTGACAAAAGGAGAAAGGCATATGTTGCTGGCTTTGAAGACAGAGGAGGGGGCCAGGATCCAAGGAACTTGGCCCTGAGAAGCTGGAACGAGCAAAGAAATGGGTTGTCCCCTAGAGCCTCCTAAAAGGGACACAACCCTGTCAACACGCTAATTTTACCCCAGTGAGACCTCTTTCAAACTTTTGAACTACAGAATCGACAGATAATAAATTTGCATTTTGTTAAGTTGGTAAATGGTTACCACAGCAACAGAAAAGCAGTAAGTAGAATAAAGCCCTACATCATGGAGGAAGTGAGGAAGTGCAAGAAGTGAAGACGGGAGTGATGAACGAGAGTTTCTCACAAAGGACACAAATCGTGGTCCAAAAGTCCTGTGATAGAGAACCTTCTGAAGAAGACAAGACAGACAAAGCTCTTAACATCCTCAGGGCCAGCACTCATGACCAGCAGCCTGACTAAATTAATGCGGGGTACCGAGTGTTTTTGAATGATTTCTGTATAAATTTTAAAATGTTTGGGCTAATTAATATGGCTGCTGATTAGAGGATAGATCTTGTTCCTAATTTTAAAAGTCTATATTTCATAACCATTTAAGTTGTCATTTACTGCTCATAAAATTAGCAGGGCATAAAATCCTAGAGCTTTTATTTTTTTTCAAGTTTCTAAAATAAGTTTCTGTAAACTTCCTTGGATCTTTGAGAGGCGTTATGATGAAGCATAATCTATACTCTGGCAGAGTTTTATTTTGCTGAATGTTCCAGACTAAGAGAAAGTTAGCTCAGAAAATCCTCTTAAGTGCCCATCGATATTTAATAAGCTCGACTCTGATGACAAGTGTCAGCCGGTCCCTCTTCTAGAAAGTTGATACTGTCTGTGTTTGTCCGTTACATAAGCCAGTTTGGGGAGGAGACCATCACCTGTGTGCCTTGCTCTGGGAATTGCTGTGGACTTGACATTTGTCTCTCTCTAAATTTTCTCCTCCCTTAGGACAGATGTAACATCTATCTTTCACCTTTGTGTCCACCCACCTACAAGCACAGTACTTTTCACAGAGTCAACATTAAATGATACTTCATGAATAAAATAAAGGAAATATCCTATTATAGCTGAGATGTTGATCAAAAAGTAGCCTTTTTAGATTCATAATTATGTATGGATCTACATGCTTACAGAAGAAATTTCTGTATTTATACATTTGTGCAGATATGTATATATGGAAATATAGCAACTTCATCCTAATACATCTAATTTTGTCAGCTGCAAAGTATCAGACTATTGAGCCCTAAATTATTAGGTCAGAGACACTAACTCCAGTGATCCAGAAAATGTTTCAAAAGAAAGCATTTGTATTTAACAGTCAGAAATTCTCTTTCTTGCCATACTTTTTCAAAATGACTGATTTCGATATAGTATCTTAATTGAGGGTTCTTCTGGATCCAGGCTCTGTTGCTAGAAAGAAAAAGCCAAGATATGAGTCATTCAGAGAAACTCATGTTGTCAGCCTGATAAAGACATGAAGGCCAGAAAATTCTTTTTCCCTTTTGTTATCAATATCTATTTACTCCTAATGGGCATTTTTAAATAATATTTTTGTTGTTGCTCTGGACTGATGGGAAATCGAATAGCCTTATGGAAAATATAAGAATGGTTGTGCCTACAAAGTATCTAAGTTGAAGACAATTCCAGACCAAACTTTTTCATTACAGCATTACAATATTGGAAAATACCTTGATCTTTCCTGTACATACCCCTATATTGGGACAGAGACCACACTAATTAACTGTATATAATGCCTTATATTTAGAACACTGTGGCCCTCTAAATTTTTGTCGAATTTCACTCTGCAGATAATAGGAAACTAACAAAACAATGCAAAATCAAGTGAAAGTAAAAACTTATCTAATTAATGTTAAAGTTTAATGTGATAATAATAAAACTGGATAATTAAAGCATCCATACCCTAAATCATTCACTTTAGCAGGATAATAGGGAACTTAAGAAATTACGTAAACATCAAATTTTGAAAAACAACTCTTGCTGCTACCGAGATGTTTAAAGTAGAAGTCATCTTCATCACAAATTATCCATAGAATATTCCAATCCCCTCTCCTTGTTTTGCATATGTACTCATAGATCAAGATTAAGTGTTTTATTTAAGAACCTATTTAAAAGACAGGAGTGGCTAATCATTTAAAATTAGCTCCTTGACCAGAACTACACAGCCATGCAAAAACAAAGCTTGGGGTTTGATCCTAATTATTCAGATTGATTGTCTACTTCTCCCAAACTCATTAATTCAGAACTCCTGTTTCTAGCATTCTCCCTTCTTTGCACTGTCTTGATCTCTCCTTTGAAATCATTATTGCTTGGGGAGGAAGGATGACTGTTGGAAATAAATCCTAAATATGGGAAATCAATATAAAATCCCATCAAGTAAAAGAGATTCTCACCCTGATATTGTATTCTTCATTTGCAATTTGACTTCTTGGATACACCCTATTCTCAGACATGGGAGGACTTGTGTGCCTTAGAAGAGAATATAACAGACCATGATGGAAAGACAGGGGCACCCTAGACATTTACACAGGGCGCCCTGTGTGCTTTGAGGGCAGTCACCTCTGATAGCTTTAGAATTTTGAGGATTGCTTGGGCTTTCTGAAAGCAGCATGTGGACTCTGGGAACTGTCTTACCTGTCTTTCATTTCATCCTTCAAATTCTGGGGTTTTTTTTAATGGTGATTTATTTCCCTATGGAATTCGAAAAGATTTGCATGTCTAACAAGGACTAATATATTTGGAGGGAACTAAGGAGTCTTTTGTAACCACCGAGGTGTCTACAGATTACAACTATAGGCAAAAAACACCACTGATGTTGAAAAGCTGACCGCCTATTGTGTCTGGAATAGTAGTTATTCCCTGGACTGCATTATGGAGGCCAGAGCAACATTAGCCTAAACTCTACTTACCAAGTGTATTGAAATTAAGCCAGGGCTCTTATCAAACCAAGCCAGAAGTTTCCCTTACTCTTTCACATTTCTTTCCACTTTTGCTGAGCTACCTAGAAATTTATTTTAAGAGGTTGTTTCTTCATGGGCTAATGAACATTACTTTACTTTTCAGACAGCTTTACAAAAGCTATCTGAATTCAACAAATATTCAATAACTATTCCCTGAATATTCACTATAGACCCAGCACTATGCCAAGTCAATAGAATTCCAAGGGTTTCTTTCACATGTACCAATGAGCTTGGCTTCTGATAAATTTATTCTAGACTTACTTTAATTTACACACTTCTCTAAGTGAAAGCCTGTCAGCTTACTTTATCTTTTTTGCTCCAGGAAAGTGATTTGCCCAACCGAAGGGCACTTGCTTTAACTGAGAACTTCTGTTCTTAAGTACAGGAAACAACAAAATACAGTTTCCTTTTTTTTTTTAAGAGTGAGAGAGTGTGAGGAAGGGTTGGGGGGTGCAGACAGAGCCTTAAGCAGGCTCCGCACTGAGAACAGTGAGCCTGATGCGGGACCAGAACTCATGAACTGTGAGACCATGACCTGAGCCGAAGTCGGAGGTTTAACTGCTTAACCAACTGAGCTACCCAGATACCCCTAGGTTACATTATATACATAGTAAGTTTAGTAGTCCTGAATGCCTATAGGTTGCTTTTGAAACCATCATTTATTTTGTAGTTTTGGCCCTCTGCATTGCTCTCGTCTAGAAGTGGTAGGTCAGAGAGGGTTGTGGGAACACAGAGCCAGCCAAGCAAGGACAGAGAGCTGGAATCTGGTGGGAGAGGCACAGACTTGTGCTAGAGGGCAACACTGGCAACACAGTGAGCAGGGTGCGGCAGGGTATCCAAGCAGAATGACAGTCTCAGGCGCATTTTAGCAAGTGACTGGCAGGAAACAGTAGCAGAGTTTCCAAAAACTGTAAGAGTCAGAGAGCCACACATTGCTTAAAAAAAAAACCACACATAAGCAAATGTGTATATAGATTCCCTACCGTCACCACCACTTTTATACCAGAAGTAGCATATTGTAACTTTTCTCCTACGCCTTGCTTTTTCCACTGAATGAATGCAGAAGATCACACGGTTATAGTCTGTGGAAGCTTCCGTGTGGAAAGCTTCCACCTTTCTTTTTTCCAGCTGCATGGTGCTCCATGGTGGCTGTGCCATAGTTTATGATCCTGAAGGACACTTGGGCTGTTTCTAAGCTTTTGTTCTCGCAAACAGTGCTAGAATTAATAGCCTCATGCATAGGTCACTTTGTGTTTTTGCCATTTTATCTTTGAGATAGATTCCTAGAAGTGGGTTTGCGGATTCCAGGTGTGTGCACTCTTGCCAGATGCTGCCAAATCCCTTCCATACAGGTTGCACCATTTTGCATTCCCATCGGCAATGAAGATCAAGTGCGGATGATGAGACGTTGGAGAAGCAGATTCCTAAACCAGACACTTGGAGCCTGGTGCTTCTATTTTCTGTTGAGATAGAAAACAAGGTCATCAGTAAACAGAGAAAGGTGGATGTGGAACGGGTGTCTAGAGGGGAGCGGGGAAGTTTCTGAACAGCCAGGGAAGGAGCTAAGCAGCAAGGTAGGATAGAAGTGTTCAGCAGTGTGGAGGGTTCAGGGCTCAAACTAGACTCTGGCCTTTTGAGTTTCTCCTAGCATCATTCAGGCACATTTTTTTTTTTTTAATTTTTTTTTTCAACGTTTATTTATTTTGGGGACAGAGAGAGACAGAGCATGAACGGGGGAGGGGCAGAGAGAGAGGGAGACACAGAATCAGAAACAGGCTCCAGGCTCCGAGCCATCAGCCCAGAGCCTGACGCGGGGCTCGAACTCACGGACCGCGAGATCGTGACCTGGCTGAAGTCGGACGCTTAACCGACTGCGCCACCCAGGCGCCCCCAGGCACATTTCTTCAGCAGTGGTGCATAGGCCAAGCATAGGACTTTAAAAAGATGAATGGTTGGATTAATCTGCGGCAGGGTTGGAGTGGCAGAGAGTCAAGGGGTCAGTCGAATTGGAGGTATTGCCAAGAGAATGGAGTCTCAGCTAGATGGGAAGGAAGTGAAGCTAAACAAGGGCCCAACCGGAAAGGCGTTACAGGACAGAATGTCATGATGAAGAGTCAAAGACAGGTGTTGTGGGAGGAGAGTAATGGGAAAGTCAGCAGGATGCAAGCCTGTGATCAGATCAACTTCAATTTTAGAAGTTGAGATCTCAGCTATGGAGAAGTTCCTGGTGACACCAAGGTCCTGGTAAGATCATGGAAGTTGACAGAGGAAGTGGAAGGGAATTGAAGTTAAGAAGATTGAGAAGCTGAGAAAAGATTTAGAAGGGGCTTTGATGGAAAACAGTATGGAGGTTCCTCAAAACGCTAAAAATAGAACTACCCTGTGACCCAGCAATTGCACTACTAGGCATTTATCCATGGGATACAGGTATGCTGTTTCGAAGGGACACATGCACCCCCATGTTTATAGCAGCGCTATCTCCAACAGCCAAAGTATGGAAACAGTCCAAATGTCCATCAATGGATGAATGGATAAAGAAGATATGGTATATATATACAATGGGGTATTACTCGGCAGTCAAAAAGAATGAAATCTTGCCATTTGCAACTACATGGATGGAACTGGAGGGTATTATGCTAAGTGAAATTAGTCAGTCAAAGAAAGACAAAAATCATATGACTTCACTCCTATGAGGACTTTGAGAGACAAAACAGATGAACATAAGGGAAGGGCAACAAAAAATAATATAAAAACAGGGAGGGGGGACAAAACAGAAGAGACTCATAAATATGGAGAACAAACTGAGGGTTACTGGAGGTGTTGTGGGAGGGGAGATGGGCTATGTGGGTAAGGGGCATGAAGGAATCTACTCCTGAAATCATTGTTGCACCATATGCTAACTAATTTGGATGTAAACTTTAAAAAATAAAAATTAAATAAAAAAAAGAAGGGGCTTTGAAATCCCCGGCAACAGGAATTGACCAAATTATGTGATCAATGGAGAAAATGTGTATTATCATTTCACTCTGATAGAGCCTATTGCCTAACATACAGCTGAAGTTCATAAAATAATTGTAAAATGAAAAACCCAATTGCTGTAGAAAAGACTTACCAGCTTTGAGGAGACAATCTAGTTTAGGGATATTAGTGACATTTGCCAGTAGTATTTGGGATGGCATTACTGACTTATTCTGTGATTTTTGAGAGCTGACTAGTAAGGGGAATTGGCATATTTATTTCCCTATATCTTATTTTGCTCTATCTGTGAAGAAATACATAGTAGAAAGAAGTATAAAGGATAAATTGGGGAATCAGAGTTTTGGTATGCTTGTTGCACTCCTTACCTGTTACCTTGAACCTTCATCTTCAGAAATAAGTATTGTTCTGGATACTCTCTTGATTCCCTTCTAACTCTGAAATTAAGATTTCTGGGATGATGTAATTTGAAGTAACTCAGAAAGTAAAGTAAAAATTCTTCTTATATTTACATATCTAGTCTGAAATTTTTTGGTTTCAAATTATTTTGAAGGTATATATTGAAACTCTTAAGGGGCGCCTGGGTGGCACAGTCAGTTAAGCGTCCGACTTCAGCCAGGTCACGATCTCGCGGTCCGGGAGTTCGAGCCCCGCGTCGGGCTCTGGGCTGATGGCTCAGAGCCTGGAGCCTGTTTCCGATTCTGTGTCTCCCTCTCTCTCTGCCCCTCCCCCGTTCATGCTCTGTCTCTCTCTGTCCCAAAAAATAAATAAATGTTGAAAAAAAAAATTAAAAAAAAAAAAAAAAAAAAGAAACTCTTGAGTTAACCTTTTAAAATTACTTAAGGGAAACAATGCCAGTTTTCTTACCACAGAATGAGATTCAAGATGGTGAAAACATCTCTCAAATATTCCATGACCCTAAATCACAGGTTGGCTCTGAAAAGATGATCTTCCCCATGAAATCTAGACATCTGAGAAGCCGAATCCCTCAGTCTTGATTAGGTAAATAACATGTTTCTCTTTCTACCTAGTCTAGATTTAACAATGAAAATATATTTCTCTATTCAACCAAAACACAATTTTGTGTAGTGGTTGGATGGATAAAACATGGCTCTTTGCCCTTGAGGAAATTACACACCAATAGGGGAGATAAAAACACATGGAAATATAAACAAATAATCACAGTCCAAAGCAGGCCAAATCCCATGTGAGTACTATAAGTAAAAATAGATTTCTAGGTTATTTTTTAAAGGTGTTCAGAAGTGGGGCGCCTACGTGGCTCAGTAGGCTGAGCGTCCGACTTCAGCCCAGGTCATGATCTCAGTCCGTGAGTTCAAGCCCCGCGTCGGGCTCTGTGCTGACAGCTCAGAGCCTGGAGCCTGCTTCGGATTCTGTGTCTCCCCCCCTCTCTGCCCCTCCCCTGCTCATGCTCTGTCTGTCTCTGTCTCAAAAATAAATAAAAACATTTTAAAAAAGGTGTTCAGAAGTACAGAGTACTTGAAATATTTCCATTTCTCATTTTTATACCATCTTTACTCTATTTTCAGCTCTTTCTATTTTTATCTAAGTGATTTGCTCTTGTATACAGAAGTTGGCCATATTGCCAATTATTTTTATTCAGTGTCAATGTGCTTACAGGTGAGAACGGATAGCATTACTAAGATGCACAACCACAATGCTACTTTTAAGTGTGTATAAATAGGTTTAGACTCTTGCAATTTAGTTATCCAAAGTGGATTATTCACTTCCTGTTTAATATTAACTTCTCCCTGTTTTTCTTCACCTTGAAACAATCTTAGACATTTCAAAGATCACTTTGTATTCCGTATACCTTAACAATCAGACAAGAGAAAGAAACAAAGATACACATTAAATTAGCTTAGCTGGTTGCTTCTAAGTAGCTTTGCTATTTTAAAAAAATAATAGGGGCGCCTGGGTGGCTCAGTCGGTTAAGCGGCCGACTTCGGCTCAGGTTACGATCTCACACTCCTTGAGTTCGAGCCCCGTGTCGGGCTCTGTGCTGACAGCTCAGAGCCTGGAGCCTGTTTCAGATTCTGTGTCTCCCTCTCTCTGACCCTCCCCCATTCATGCTCTGTCTCTGTCTCAAAAATAAATAAACGTTAAAAAAAACTTTAAAAAAAAATAATAAAGGCTTCTTCGTTGATATCCTCATAACACTTTATGTGAACTTATACTTGAAAATTTATCACATTATACTGTAAACATTTGCTCAGATGTCTCCCCCGACCTCCTCTCCCTTCCTCCCTCTTTTCCTTCCTCCCTCTTTTCTGTCACCAGAACACAGCATCTAGGAACCTTGTCCTATTCACTTTGTATTCCTTGTACCTTATACAGAGATAAACACTGGGTGGGTGTTTGGAAGGGTGGGTGGGTGGATGGATGGATGGATGGATGGGAGGCAGCAACAACTGAAATCTTCCACAAGATCTGGAGAACCACTCATGATTGTCTTTCAGCCATGAATCAACCTCACCTTCAACGGGATTCTGACTCCAGTTATATCAGATAGTGTATTTAAATAGAAAAAGAACCAATGTCTTTAAAAGTTTCTCAAAAACTTCTGCAAGTTAAGCTTAGCCTTTGAAAACAAAGATAACTGAATATTTTTAAAGCTCACTGCAGACTGATAAAATGCGCTCTTAGGCTGAATTCACAGAGCTTTATTGAGGATTCTCTCCTCCCGTTCTTTCCTCCAGGCTGGCCACCTAAAAGATTCCCAATTAACTGGATCCTGCAGTTCTCTACCTCACTTTAGCCATTCAGATGGAACGTAGAGTCGCTTGGAAGTGTAATTGCAGAAAATAAAAGTAAAACTCAGGACCTAAGGGAAGATGCTAAAATGATAGGCAAATTAGAAAATTGTGAATTTTAATGATGTGAGGCTTTTTTTTTTTTTTTTTTTTTTTTACAAGGAAGACAGCTTTCAGCAAAAGAGGAGTGACAACGTGTGCAGAGTAGAGGGGCTGCTCAGCACAGCTGACTGCAGTCCTGTGCTGGGGACACTTGCTTCTGATAACTTGAGAGCACACACACAGCAATGCCACTGACTGTTCACCAAGAAGTAGAACATTTCAACTGTTCTACGTGTGACACAGGCTTGATCCTAGCAAAGGGCCATCAGTCAGATGCCTGTCTATTGCAAAGGCCCCTGCTTGAACCCTGAACCCACTAAGAGGCTTGAGAGATTGATTATCCAGCTCAGTCCACAACTCCTGCAACATATTGTGCTCGGCAAAACCACCAGACCATCAGGAATTAATATGCTATTTGAGATGCAAATCAAGAGTGCCAGTGAAGGAGTGTAGAATCCCATAGGGCCACTGCCCATAGTAGGGACATCTAACTCCAGGCCAAATCCATAGGATTAACCCTAAACAAGACCTTTCGCTTCTATCATCAAAAGCAAGCCAGTATTCAATTTTCTGTTTTCTTCTTCTTGATGTTTTTGTTAAGTTGTCAGGCAGCCCTGGGGCTGCCATCTTCATTTGCACGTGAACACCTTAGGGTTCAGTTCTGCATATAAGTAAAACTGTGCACTGTATCTAAGGAAGTTTTAGGGGAGGGGGAAAAAGACAAAGCAAAGTGAGAACCCGGCATTATGCCGTTTGCACTTTATTCTCCGTTAAAAAATTTTTTTTCTGATACCTTATTTTCTTAAGTTTTCTACAGTTGTTAATCTAAGCCTCACATTTTAAGAAGCCAGTGAACCTTTTGCTTTATATTCCTCTCTAGATCTTACAAGTTTAGCTTAGTATCTCAAACATTTCCAGGGAGAGACTTGGACCATCTGCATTAGTCCTAGTATTGGGTAAAATTAAACAAGATAATTTTAAAATTTGGAAAAAGTTCTTTGTTTCAGTTTCTTTACAACGAAAACATTCAGTGGTTTAAAAAGAGTTTAAACAGTCCTCTGTAGAATTTAAACTGTATAGTGAAAGAAAGCTGCTTAGGTGATTTTATGTAAAAATCTTTTCCTCTGTTAGAGTAGAAGAAGCTGGTTTGCAAATTAACAAGGTGGAGCCAAAATAGAGAATTGCATTGTAAGAGAGTGACTCAATGTTTTGACTTTTTAAAATATATCCTTCCAGACAGCAAAGACTGCCTTGTCATTTGATTGCTTTCCAATTAATGTTAAGTTTTCCTTTATAAATATCACACTTTTGCCATCAGAGCTACCAGTTGTGACCTCGTATTACCTGTCCTTGAAGGACCCACGGGGCAATTATGACTGTGGGTATCTATCATTACAAAGATGTATCTCCTCATATTCTAACCCTCGGTGTGGTCCAATCAGCACCACCATAAGATTGCGTCTATTAATTGCAGAGAAGCAAATCAATGTTTGTTTGCTTAGAAGTAAAAATAGGTACTTGCTGATAAGTATGTGTTCCTTACTACTTTTGTTTACAAAGAATTAACCAACCATTAAGTATCCTCAATAAATAAAACTAACCTGCAATCTTCATAAGCTATTTAAAATTATAATTTTTACCAAAGAAAGCTGGACATTATGCAAAGTAGATAATAGATTCACAAAGTCACTCCAAGGTATACAATATGCCCAGTAGAACAGAGCCTACTTGAAGTTCCTGACTAAAGACTTCATGAAAACATAGAAGAATTTGACCTGGAGAAATACAGGGACCCATCTGGATTCTCTGAACACGAAAATATTTGGAAATGGAAAATCTGTGCTTAAAAGACTCCAAAGTCAGAATGTGCCAAAGGTAGGGCCTGAAAGTGTCAGTAACTCTGACTGCCTGCTGCCCACCGTATTTAGTAATTTAGGTCCTGGTGGTGGGGATGGCCTCCCTACTGTGAGGGTCTGTGAACCCAATGGACAAAGTTTAGCTTTGGTACCTGCTGAATGTTATGTGATAAGGTTTACATCCTGACTTAATCAGTTCTTACATTTAACTTCCAATTCATTTTTTCCTTCCTACTTGAGATAGAGAAGTCATTTTTCCCGGCCTCCTAAGATGCTGGTACCTGTACACCTGTCTACGGAAACTGTCATCCTCCGCTTGAAAAAAGACTGTGTGCATCTCTCTTCTGGCACATCCTAGAAACTCCCAGCATAGCTTGGTTTAAAGTCCTCCTCCATCATAAGGTCTAAATTGACTTTCCCTCAAGTGGTTTTTTTTTCCCCCACCACTCCTGATCATTCAGCAGATATTTATTGAGCCCCCTTTCTGTGTCATGCACTGAGGGAAGATTTTGCAAGGTGAAGGAGTATAAATTTTTCTCCCCATTCTACACTTATCTAACTCTTCTTTATCCTTCATATTAACCATCACTTCCTCAGAGAAGCACCCCTGATCCCCAGTCTAGGTCAGTCTTCTTTGTTGTATAGAACGTCAGCCTTTCCTTCATAAAACATGTTTGTTTGTAAATAAACTCATTTATCGATTATTTTACTA